CCCCAGTGTGAATAGCTCCCACCTCGGTGTGGGCATGTCATGAGGCGAGGACGCCCCCCCTGATCTCTCGCAGGCCGATAAAATCACCTAGGGCTAGGCCCTTGCGGGCGTGGTGGCATCTAAGCCTACCGCATGATGAGTGTTTGGCGCTTGTTTCCTCGCGTAGGCCAACTACTGATCACCGTTGCCAAAGCCTTAATTTGTTGTTTTATCAAAAAGCCCCAGAGATACGAAACAAAGTCTAAGTAGCTCAGGCTTGGCCAAACAAGGGTACGAGGCGGGTCTCGCGATCCGTGCGTGATTGGTAGAGCGGAAAAAAAATTCCAAAGTTGGTCACGCAGGGCTTGTGGGGGCCGTCGCGAGCGTCGCGGCGGGGGTCACGCAACTGTTGTGTGAACCATCTGAAGTGAGATAAGTAAGGCGGCCATCTTGTGTGACGTCAGACCAGGATACCCCTTTGATCACGTGACTACATCTAAATATAGCCAACCGCCTGGCACCAAAGGTCATGTAGAGAGAATCTTTGATGGCATGACGCTTTGGTACGATGTTTTTCCAGGAATACCGGTAATGTGAATAATGCGGTGCTCCGATGATGCTGCTGCTTATCTCTTCTGTGCATTGTTTATCGCTCCGGGGGGAGGGGGGCAATTTCAAGCATGACGATTCACTAACTGAATTCTGAAATGTCATTAACATACCAGAAACCTTTTTACCAATCAGTAGAGCACGGCTGATGGGCTGCAGTTAGCCACAAGTGTGAAATTTTAACGTGCGAAACAGATTGATATGGATAATACGTCAAGCCACTGACACAACATGTCATTCTATGCGGTATCTCCAAAGATTCTCTACTACACGGTCTTTGGTATCTCCCTGGCCTTTTAAAAATAGTCTGTGGGTATCCCAGGATGATCACATATTACTAAAATTAGCTGCCAATCAGGCAGGTGCGTCATTCTACATTTAGTCGGATGTACCTCTATTCTTACCTTGATAGCGCAGTTGTAGTCGTAGGCCTCTCTCGGCAACTCTGTCGGCAAATCTTTTGGCTATTCTCATCCGGTGTGCGTTCACCAAAGATTCTCCACTTACAAGATACTGCACTTGCTCTTTTGGCTTTTGTCTGTCCATGGCGAGCCCCGCTTTGCCGCATAGCATATGATGGGCTACGTCACGAGGCGACACGAGGTTGTTTTCATCGCCCACTGCTTGGTGTGTGTGAGTGTGTGTGTTTATGTGATTTTGTATTTCAAAAAGCCTAGAGTTTAGTGTGCATGTTTTTGTTTTGTTTTTTAAATGTTATCTAGGTACATGTATGTGTGTAGAGGTGCGCTCCTATCTTTTCATTTACTGCTTAGTGCATTGGCTCAGGCCGATCACTCTGAATGAGAGGGCATGCCTTTGGCTATTCTCACCCGGTGTGCGTTCACCTTAACACCAGTGTGTAGTGTAAACAAACGTTCCAGCGCTTGCAATTTTGTCTTCGGGCAATGGGAGAGAAAGAGAGAGAGGGGGAAGGGGGAGAAAGAGAAGGAACAGAGAGAGAGGACGGAGTGGCAGGAACTATTTTGTGAAACAAAATGGCGACCGGCGCAGTTCGACTTGATTTGAAAAGTGAAATAGCAGTAGTAGCATCTTTGTAGACGACCAAATTAGTTTACTTTTGTGCTATAGCATTAATTTGTTTCTTTTTTTTGGGGGGGGGGGGGGTAAATTTGATCATCCATACCAATAGTATTAAGAAATTAGGAAAAACAGGTCTTGTTTCACACCGGGTGAGAATAGCCAACGCTGGCAAGTCTCAACCAGGGTGAGAGGTCGATCGTATTTATTTTCTCACCCGTGGTGAGAATAGCCACTTCCTTAACTGAAAGTGTGGCTGGATGGAGGCTGAGGACACCCCTTAATGTTTGCCTTTGCCTTTGGACGGTTGACCAGAAACTTGAGTATATGAGAAAGTCTTACTTTTTTCTCTCTTTCTCTCCCCCCTCCCTCCCCGTTATCCCCAGCCAACCGCCAAAAAAACCCAAAATGTACTATTGCCTCTGTTCTTGCATTTTCTCCGTGAGCTAAGTGACCATTATCCTGTAGCCAAGATGTGCTTTTTTATTCTCGCAATTCAAACTAAGCTAAACCGTTTTGAATTTAAGTGACAGTATAATTACTGTACCACTACTCTAGGCCACATTCTCCCTGCATTTGTATTAAATCATCATTTCTTTGGATAGCCTACGTGCAAGTGCATACACACGCACACACAGGGTCCATTTTTTTACAAAGATGTACTGAGATGGACCGAGATGTAGGCCAGAGGAGATCTGCCATCTTACGACAAAAGGCAGCATATGCATATTTTGTGTTGTCACTTTAACATAGGGGCCCTACACATGTAGAACCAGGCGGTTTAACCAGAGTGGGAACCAGCATTGAAACGGCCATGCCGAACTGCCATTCGATGGGTCGGCACGTCATCCACATCATGTGTAGTTAAACTGCAGCGAGTGTGCTGTCAATGGCGATTTGCTTGCAGTTTGTGAGCTGCTTATGGCGAAGAAAAAACAAAAAGAGAAAAATATGGAGGAAAGACTGGCTTCAGAAAAGAGATCACAGGAGTTATAGGTCTTCTAATGCGGGAATTACAGCCTTATCCTGATGATTTCAGTATTTTTTTTTCGACAAATGTGTGTGTGTGTGTGTGTGTGCAAGTGGATTGGAAGGGTGGGGGGGGGGGGGGGGAGACTGGTAAGCATGTGTATGTATATATATATATCAGTTCCATTGAGAGCAGCCTTAATTCAAGTAAATTGTGTTGGTTCAGCTCAGGCCAGCTCTCTACACCTATCGGTGTGGTAAAAAACATGCGCTGTATCTAGTTCATGGTAATGAAAATCAGCACAGATTTTGGCATGGATTTTATCGGCACGGCATATAACAGTCCCATGGAAAGCAGCCTTAATTCAGGTCAATTTTTTTGTTTTTTCAAATATTTTCCTCAAAACAATTCTTAGATCTGTCTGAATCCTGGGTTTTAATGAACTTCTCTGTACATCTCAGTAAAAATAGATACCGCACACACCGCAGCACTACAACAGTAAGCCTACACTCCAAGTTTTGTATTTTTTCATTTGCCAGTTATGTCTCATTGTCACCCTCCACAGACCGACTTCTCTTAAGTTTCGACCTGAAATTCGTTCTGACCAACCTGTGCAGAAACTGGAAGTAGCTCTAGAGATGCCTTGCGATGGGAAAATCTACCCAACCTTGCAGTCACAAGAAAATTGTGAGCACTGATTGTGTTTCATTTTGGTTGCATTGTAGTTTATTTGGTTGTAAAGGCAAAGGGTAATAAAATGTACATTACGTTTGAAGTAATTTTTGTCATTCCTGTTTGTAATCTCTAAACAAAGATAAAAAGGTCAAATAAGTTCAACAGATTAAAGATCTAAGATTTGTGATTACATCCATGGCAAATGCTCCGTCCGTGAGAAATAAACAGAAAGTTGCAGCGGAAAAACACAAATATACATGGGGATTGTACTTATTTATTGAAACTGTCAATGAAATTAGTCCAATCCTGAACAATAGTAACATCTCAGTGCCTACCAAAATAACAATTCTGAAAAGCTATATATATATATATATTGGTCAACCCTATTCTAATTCTATGGCTGTGAATGCAGAGGTGAACAATTACCAAAGACAATGAAAATAAGATATAACTAATGGATGTATGTAGTTTCTTTGGAGAGTGTTGAGAATTTCATTGAAGGAAAAGAAATCAATTCAGGAAGCATGGAAAGAAGTCCAGGTGGGCCGCTCACTATAAAAACAATGAACAGTTAGGAGAGACCGGTGCACGTGAATCCACATATTATAAAAATAGAAGGCAAATAAGGTAGGGTAGACCAAGAGTAGCTTCTTGGAAAACCTTAACCTAGCACTTTATGATGATCGTGGACTTTTTGTTGGAAAACAGCCTCTTGATGAATTTGTGTTCGTCTAATAATGGTAATAATTTAGATCGCTCTATAGCGTCTATTCGCATGTGAACACAGCTCTATGGCCTTTACATAAATGCATATATATGTATAAATTCAGAAATTAACAATACAGTACATGCATGGTGTTTAAAAAAAATTAACCTTTTGGTTAATCCACGAAAAATGAAACTGCAGTGATACGTACATAATGTGGAGAAGATAAACTGATGAAAAAAATTCTAAGCAGTAATAGAGCCATTCTTTTTTTTTTTCCTAATTTAATTCTTTTTTCGGTAGAGGGGCAGCTTTCTCTTACAAAAATGCTAAAAAATCAAACCGGGCTATTCATTCGCTGTTTCGAATTTCTTGAGCAAAAGCGATCATCCCTGTATTACATATGTTACTGCAGTTTCAGTTTTGATAGAATGATCTTTATTTGTTCATATACATTCACACAGAAAATGATACAAATACACCCATAGACACATGCATGCATTCACTCACATACCTCACCAACACACACATGCACATACACATTGTTATGAGATGGTTAATACAAATACAGTCAAAGCTGCTTTAATGGCCACCTATCCAATAAAATCACCCTTACAAATGATCACTTCTCACCTTTGAAATTTTTAAATATTATATTTACACTATCCAGAATGTCCTCTTGCCAAAGATAACTACTTTTCTCCTCGACAATGGGTGGCCGTCTTGGACAATTCTGATTGTATTTATATAAAATAACATACCTACTCAATACAATCTGTGGGTGCAAAAAAATAGCCTACATTATGTAGACATATACTCATTAAACTAAAATTATATTTTGAGTCAAATGATCTTGTAAAAGGTGTCCTGGGAACTTTAAAGAGATACTGGTCACCTGATCTCAGTGATCTAGATGAGGGCCTAATTCAGGATGAGATTACTGAGATATGAGGGAGCTTCAATACTGACACACTTATGGCATAATATTGCACTTTTTCTAGCTGACACAGGGAATCAAGGCAACCGTGGGAGTAATGTATTCCTATGTACAAGGCTAGTAGCACGATTCTTAAAATGCTGCAATTTGTGGAGAGTGGTATTATGTAAGTTAGGTAGAACACTGCAATAATTCATATTTGAAAACAGGAAAAGGGTCATGAGAGTTTTCAATGGGCTTTCCTTAAAAAACATAGGCAGTGGCCAATTCTATGGAATGTGCAAAACAAAACATTTAAGGCTTTGTCGTCAGATGAGGTCCTCACTGTATAAAACCAACTTTTCTTTTCAGTGAGACATGTTCATGGCAAAATACTCTTTTTAAAAATCTTTTTCAGATGATTTAATTGTAGGCCCAGGGACAGCTCGTATCCAGGCACCTGAAGTCTGGGGTGCCCTGAAAGGGCTGGAGACATTCAGTCAAATTGTATATCGTCTGGAGACTGGAGAGGTAAATTATGGAGAGGGTACTGTTGATCATTTACTTCTTTTACCATGGTTTCTCAAGACTTCATGCTGTTGATTTTCGTTCCCTGTGTCAATGTCCCTTTGATCTCTTTTTCTGTGGTACAAGCTGGGTGCACAGATAAATTTTGTTACTGTTTCTCATTAACCTTTCATGGTGCTGTGCCATTTTTGTTTCCATGTCTTTATATAAGCAACTACATTTTTATGCTTATAGGGCACCGCTGGTGGGTCCTCCTTCTTTTGCTCCTCTCTTGTGAGTCTACCTGTCTGCCTTTTTTTTTTCATTGCACTTAATAATCATTAACGTTTTGATGTCCTTCTGTTTACTCATTTGTGTTTTAAAGATGTATTAAAAATTTATGATAGTGGAATTAAAATCCCTGTGGGTCATGACTTTTCTTTTCTTGGTGACATTTTTTTTCACCCTGATTTTTTTGTCAGTGAAACAATGCCTCAAATAATCCTTTATGTATATTCTATGTACAGTCAAACCTGCCCTGACGGCCACCTCTATAAAACGGCTACCTGTACAAACGGCCACTTTCCATTCCCCCCCCGTTTTTTCTCTATATAATTTAACTGTGTAAAACGGGCACCTGTCCAACGCGGTCATGGCCACCATATTTTAACACACAACCCCCATCACACTAAGCAATAACACCTGTCTTGGACGGCCACCTTAGTGACTCCATTATGTTTTGTCATAAATTGTGCATTGGCCCCTGGCGTGGTGGGCGAGCCGTCATAATTCAATACCCTGTCGTTGTTGTTAGGTAGTCCTTCCAACCGATTATGTTACGTAGGCCCCTCCCACTGTTGACCAATAAGTACCAATTTTCAACTGCGGGTGAGGTAAGCGTGTGATCCCTCATAACCCATAAGCCCCGCCCAGAACTCATACACAAATCGTAAGTGAGATGAGTGGTCACTGTTTACCCAGTCTGTAACAATATAACAAAGGACGTCAACAAGAACTGGTGACAGAAGCGTTGCTCGTTCTCCGAGTGATGGCGACCCATGTGTTTGTTCTAACAAGGCTCTCGGTCTTCCTCGTCTGATACATTTCGTTTTATTGTCACTCTTGCGCAAAATCAGCTACAAAATAAAAATTACAAACAAAATACAAACCAACAACAACAACAAAAACAAAAACAATGCGGCTACTTTCGATTGGGACCTCAGATGAGAATGGTTTGTTTTCTTCATCTTGATTAGTCCTGCCTAAGACGGCCACCTGCCTTATACGGCCACTTTTCTCCTTGACAATGGGTGGCCGTCTTATGCAGGTTTGACTGTATATGGTGGAGTCTGCTGACCTTGAACTTGGTTAATCCAAAAACAGTGGTACACCGAAAGAAAGTAAGATCCCTGATTTTTTTTTTCCTTCAGTGTGAACGGTCTGGCAAAATCAAACAAAATCCAGCATTTCTGCAGATTTCAACTTAAATGGACTCCACTGTATATTATATTTTCAACATATCCATCTCAAAGTAAAGCGTTTTGATGTCAGTAATTTACAAATTTTTAAGTGTTTTTTTTTCTCAGTTCGTTGTGAATGAGACCCTGATCCGTGACACGCCACGTTTTCCTCATCGGGGACTCCTGCTGGATACCTCCCGTCATTATATCGCCAAGCCTCTTATATTTAAGACACTGGTAAGTTTCGTCTTGTGGATCTTTTCCACTTTTGGAATTGCTTTTATCTCGTGAGCCTAGAAATTGGACTATCTTGATTTTGTTTTGATGTTGGCCTCAGAAATAACTGTAAGAGTGAAAAATCTTTTTGACATGAATATATACGTATGTTGTTTATTAATGTTTGGTTTTGTTTTTAGGATTTAAGCACCAAAGGATTAAATTATTTCTTAATCAATGTTTTCTCATCCTTGCATACATTTTTAAAATGTTATTGATTTCATTTAGGATGCTATGGCACAGAACAAGCTGAATGTGTTTCACTGGCACATCGTGGATGACCAGTCTTTTCCATATGTCAGTAAAATGTTCCCTGATCTGAGCCGAAAGGTAAGTACTGCTTAATATGTACACTTTTAAACTTTTTACATACAGTCATGAGGCATTTTTAACTTGATGCTGCTTGTTATCAATAAGTTGTGGCAGTAGTAGCATGGGATAAAAGTAGCCTGTTTTACTGTGGGATTGATAAAATTGCACTGTAATTCTTTACACCCATAGATCAAAATGTCTATGAATTAAATGATATGAATAAATTATATTTTTTTTGTGCTGCTTCTCAGTGCTGATTCTGCAGTCGTTTAGTTTCTGAAGACCCCATGCTGCTAGGTCAGCATGACCGGGCCATTTGCTGGTCACTCTTCCTGCACTTACACCATATACGGGGTTAAATACCATAGCAATTTTACGCAGTTTTATTTCAACGATTACTAATGATAACAGATCAATCAACATGTTGGGACAATTTAAGGTTTTTTGTTGTTGTTGTTTGTTGGGTTTTTTTTGGGGGGGGTGGTTGTCATGATTATGTTTTTTATCATTGCCTTGATTTGGCTAGATGCTTTAAATGATTGCTTATGTGAATTGTGCAATGACTCAGACTTGCATTTCAGGGAGCCTTCAATTCAGAAACTCACGTGTACACCCCAGCTGACGTGGCAGATGTGATTGAGTACGCCCGAGTCCGAGGTATTCGTGTCATGGCAGAGTTTGACACACCAGGTGAGACGATCTATCAAAGCTCTGATTATATTGACGAAAGAGAAGTTGGATTAAGATTGAACAGAACAGAAGCAACCTTCCGCCCCCACAACACACTCATGCTTCAGTCACAAACATTATGTCTCTCCACCACTTTAAATCTCACTTTGATCCTCTTGGTTCATCAATGCTACATGATCCCAGTCGCCTACATGTGTACAAATTTCATGTGCTGCCTACTTTAATAAGCTTAGTTGGACTTTCCAAAGGTTCATGGTCACATTGAACACAGAGACTATTTGGAGAAACAAAATCATGTAAACAGTAGGCTACACCCTTTGCTATTTCACTTTAACTCATATGCCTCAACATCTGTTTACCTCTGACAAATTTGTGTTACCTGTCCACTGTCATATTGACCAGAAGGCACTGTCTACCTCTCTCAATGCTAGTTTTTGTGCCATGGGGTCTGGTACCTTTAAAAGTAATAAAAATAAAGATAACTTCTAGAGTGCCCACTCCCTGGTGGTTCTAGGCGTTTTACAATAAGACAAGACTTAAATCAATGTTTCATGCATATTGGCCCATTTAAAGCACAACAAGTCTTTCAACTACGCATATACACTCGCAATCGGACAAAGAATAACTTACACGAAAAGACAATCACTGTTACTACGAATCACACCTGCTGGTGGAAGAAGAATCAAACTAATAAGTAAGATGGGATTTAAGTATACCTATCGCCAATGCTATGTGTATAATTCCAGGCCACACACAGTCATGGGGAAAAGGCAATCCAAACTTCCTGACAGAGTGTTACTCAAAGGGTCAGCCCACCGGTACTTTTGGCCCTGTGAATCCTATTCAGGATGGTACTTATGACTTTTTGGCCAAGTTCTTCAAGGAAGTCAGTGAAACATTTCCTGATCACTATATCCACTTGGGTGGAGATGAAGTCAGTTTCAACTGCTGGTAAGTTATCCAGCGAAGTTGTTTCTATTTTTTTGTTTTTATCTGTAGCTATTCACCTTTACTACTATGTAACATTTACCTTTCTTTAAAAAAAAGTGTCCAAAGTTTTGTTTACATACTGCCTATAATCTATACATGTGTCATCCTTGTAAAATATATAAATGTATATAAGTCAAATTTTAAAAAATTTCATATATTACAATTTCAGCAAGTTAATTTTGCTCTCTCAACTATGTTTGTCTCTCATTCTGTGATGCTTTGAAAACATTCTTCTCTCGACCTGCATGTAACATATGGCGTAACTTTCCTTTGTGATTTTTTAGGCATCGTGGTGAAATCAGGCGTCCGTTAAAATAATAGGATCCAAGAATAGGGAATTAATTCACCAGTTGTTGTTTTTTTGGGTCAACACCTTTTATGTTAACACAAAGACACATTTCGATGTGAATTTTATTGAAAAACATTGATTAAAGGCAGCACAAAATATATGTAATTTTCAGTTTTTTATTCACTATCTCAAAATTACAAAGTTCTATCTGCTCTGTGCCTAGTTTTGAGAAATTTGATGTCAACAACTTTGAGTTTCCCATCATGTCAAGCTTTTTTTAATGCAATTCTTTAAATATCTTGATAACAACTTCAAATAATCTGAGCAGATAAAACATTTGGTTTTTGATCTCATGGTCTTAATAACTTAAAACAACCGAAAATGTCAGATAGAACTTTGTAATTCTGAGGTAGTGAATTGAAGTGATCAATTTTCTCATTTATTTTACCTCTGAAACCAGGCAACCCCACTTCCTTCAATTGCAAATATCTTGACTTCTATTCGAAATAAACAGATTTTGTTTCATTGAAAGAAAGGCAAATGAATAAGCTTTCAGATGATATCAATAACCCCACATGCCCAAAAATTGACGAGCGCCTGATTCCACCGCATCGTGACTCATTCTGTATTTTTCCAATTATCAGGAGGTCAAATCCAAACATCTCAGACTTCATGGTAAAGATGAATTTTTCCTCTGACTATTCCAAGCTGGAGGAATTCTACATGCAAAAGTGAGTTTACAGAACTGAGCATGTGTTGTTACTTTTAATTTTTAGGTTTGTGTTTGGTTTGAGATGAGTTTACTGTTGGCGCTTTGGTTTTTCCCAAGTGGAAGGATTGTAGACTTTCTGGTGGTTCCCAACTTCCACACGCTTCACTCATTGCAAATTGGAAGGTGGGGTTTACTGCTATGCTGGTGTTTGCTTGGTCTTTTTATGTCTTGTATTGCTATTCTTGTTGATTTCTTTCTTGACTCATAAGAAAATACTACTGTGAAAGTTTACCAGATTTTTTTCAAGTAGCCTACAATTTCAGCAGTTGTAAGATGGCATTTATTCTGTTAGTTTTTATGTAGAGAGTACAATCATGTCTTAAGAAATATGATTTAGATTGATAAATTTTATAGACATTTGGGATATATAAACCTTGAATTTGAATGAACAGATAAACTCTTTCATATTTTCTCCTTTTGCATTTTGTGGCAAGCATACAGCATGTTAGTGCTTTCTGATTTTTAGTTTAATTTACTTTCAGAGTACTGGATATTGTTGGAAGTCTCAAAAGAGGATACCTTGTTTGGCAGGAAGTTGTGGATAATGGAGTGAAGGTGAACACAGTCTCTCTCTGCCTTCTTACTTTTAGAGGAGGATAGTGATTTTATCCTTAAAATTTAAAGGGTGACCGATGGTGTGAAGGGAAGATCCTTAATGGAACAATTTTTGAAACTTATGAAAGTACACCTGACACTGTTGTTATGACTCTACCATCTCAGTGAGGAAGGCCCTGAGTTTCTACTGCTTGGTGACATAGTTGTTCTTTCTCTCCAGTAAAACCATTTCTCCATAAATGTCTTTTATTGTTTGCTGAAACTGGGGTACCTCTGTGCGGATGACAATCCTTCTTTTATGACTGATTTCAGTCTGCTTAGATTTAAAAAGCTTCAAAATAAGTGAATAAGCATCGTTGTTTGATGAATAATCTGCACCCACTATATCGACATAGATGTACATGGGAAGAAAAAATGTTTATTTTGTTTTGAAATTTATTTATTTGAGTAGACAGTTGTCAGCCAGTTTGAGACTTTGCTAACCTTCAGGTGAGCTCGGATGCCATAGTTCATGTATGGAAGAAATACTGGCAGGAAGAGCTGGCCAAAGTGACCAGCATGGGCTACTCTGCTGTGTTGTCCTCAAGCTGGTACCTCAGTTACATTGAGTACGGCAGTGACTGGACCAGGAGATACCTAGAAGAGCCTTACAATTTTACTGGTTTGTGTGTCCTCCATTTTGTGGTGGTCCTCCGGGCAGGGGGGTCTGGCCTTGTTTTTTGACTAGATTTGCTGCACTATTGACCTTTTCTAGCACATTCCCACGAGACAACTCATGGAGAGGAGAGGAGATTTGTGAGACTGAATTGAAACTAGGTTTTGGTTTTCTTCGGGATTTTTTAAAGAAAAGAGCACTTTTGTTTTGCCTATAATCAGTTCTGCTGATCATTCCAATATGGAACAAAACAATGGTGAGTCTGAAAAGAATATCTCTCAAGTCTCATGAGTTACTCGCTGTATCATGTAGATATCTTTGCCGTCATTCAACACTGTAGTATGTCAAAACTGAGAATAAAATGAAAGTATGTTGTAGAGTTTGATTAGGAACATTGATTGGTCGTGGTTTCATTCCTTTTCTTAAAACAGTGGTTTTAAACGTATTAAACAATTTGTATTAAGCGAATGTCCTGCCTGAAATATAATAGATTTTTGCTTCTCCTGAAAACCTCGTACTTTTGACATACGACAATGATGAATGACAGAAGTGAGATGATTTGTCTCCCTGGGGCTTCTCCCCCCCCCACTCCCCTCAGTCAGGTCTGGTCCTCCAGCCAGAATGACATGTGACTTTTGTGTTATCAAAGAAGTGCGCCACTGAAACAATTGCACACATTCTTATAAAAACTCTTCTCTGTCTTGGGACAACTTTTGCAGATAATCATGGGAAACACCAAATTGTATGAAAACCTTGTTCATATTACTTCACATAATGTTCTGTGCATATAATTTCAGTATGAATATTAAGTTGGAAATTCCATCCCCATATTATTTTCCTTTGTAAATTTGTCTTTCTTTCACTAAGAAATTATATGTGTCATGACGTGGTGGAATCAGGCGCTCGTCAATTTTTGGGCATATGGGGTTATCATTATCATCTTAATGCCTGTTCATTTGCCTTGCTTTTAGTGGAAAAAAAAATCCATTTATGTTGAATAGAAGTCGTAATATTTGTGATTAAAGGAGGTCAGGGTTGCCTGGTTTCAGAGGCAAAATTAGTGAAAAATGGTCGCCAAAGTTTGGTAATTTCCATAGTTTAAGAGTCCTTGAAAACTGAAAATTTACATTTTTGTGCCTTTAACCTATGTTTTTCAGTAAAATCCATACGCAAATGTGTTTTTAAATGGATCTCTAACGGCGTTGATTCAAAAAACAAAATTTGATAAGAATTGCCAAACGAACAGAAAAATGTCAGTTTCTTCGATTTCATTATCTTGACGAGCGCCTGATTTCTCCAAGTTTCCTCACATTTTATCTTAAATGTTGTGTTTGCAACTCCCAAGCATGGTGTTTTCTTTGATACTGCAAAGAAGAATGTCCAAGATAATTAAAAACTCTTTCTTTTCTACTTGCCCTTTTCTGATGGCTGTGTAATTTGATGTTACCCATGTATGCGTTGCCCATTTTTCAAGGTGCGGGAGGACACCGTTGTCCATGTGTGGAAGGGCGGATGGCAGGCGGAGATGGCAAGGGTCACGGGACTCGGCTACCACACTCTTTTGTCTTCCTGTTGGTATCTGAATCTCATTAGCTACGGCAGTGATTGGGTCAACTACTACAAGTGCGACCCTTACGCTTTCAACGGTAAATGTACACGGCATGCTGTGGCATGTGCTGAGTGTGAGGGGTTACAGTACAGGCATGGCAGTGGTTCCCACACCCATAGTTTATGCTGTCACTTTTAATAATGAGAGTTAAAAGGAGGATGTCAGGCATGTAATGCTTTCTGTAAATTTGTTGTGATTCAGTTCATTTTATCTTGACGAGTTTTTTTTCTTCTTTATGTTTTATTTTTTCATACTAAAAGTTGGAAAACATCTTTTCTTGAACTCTGGAGGATATTTTCATGTAAACAGTTTTAACATCGTGAATTTTGTAAGTAAGCATCAGCTCTTGAAAATTGCTTGGTTCAGGTGTTTAAAAGAACAAAAGATGTTTTTCAGATTAAACCAAGTGAAGAATTGTTCAAATATGACAGTTTTGAGTGTTGGGGAATCTAAAAGTAAAAGTTCAGTCAGTCGTGTCACTGCTAAAAAAAAGTCTGAAAAGCACTTGTATGGAAGATGGGTAACGTAGCATGTAGTAGGACTGTGCCTTGGTGGATACAAATGGCGAGAACTTGGACGTTTGATGTAGAAGAATGAATACTACTTAATAACTCTCTGTAGTTTAGTCAACATTAATGCTACTTCATGCAGAAAGTACCAAATGGGTACATTTATTCAGAGCACTACTATTTGATACAACCTTGGACTTGGAGAAGGTGTCAACATCACGTAGCGGCTGATTGGCAGGTGCTCTGGTGTGGATTTCTACTTCTTGCCTATGAAACATCTAATCCTCCTGATATCTCCTCCTTCTTTTTACATGTTTGTTACCCTCTTGTAGCATCTCTGATCTTCTCTTATATGACCTTATTGTGTTGCAAGTGCCGTTAAAATCTTATTAGAACTAAAAAGAATCACTTAAGTTGACCCACCCACCACCACTCGCATCACTGTAGCACGTACTCCGGGATCAGATGATCTTTGTGCAACACAAAAGTGGTGACCAATGAAAATTTGATTATCATTAGCCCTGGGATAATATAATAATATATATACTTGTGTAAGAATCAGTATATAAGAGAAAATTGTTGAGGAGAATGTGCAGAGATAATTGAAAATTCATAGGATGAAACGTCTTTTTTTTTTTTTTTTACTTTAATCTAATAACGTAACACATCTCCTAGACTTCCTCCCTCAAAAAAAAAAAAATTTACAAAATTACAAAAAAAACCCAAACCATTTGATGCTTAGCTGTGATGTCATGTATTAATAGTTCTTCTTACATGAGGACTCCCAAGTGATTGAAGTTATTGATTAAGGCACAGCCCTAGCCTATAACCATTTCTTCCTTGTTTAGTTACTCTTCTCTTGTACTGTAGATGATACGCCTACTTTTAACTGAACTAACAATCTGCTTGCTAAAACAGGTGTAATGATATTTTTTTTACTGATACTAAAAGCATGCTTACTGTCTGTGATCTTGCATAACACAAAAGTAATCTGACAGGTTTGCTTTATGGCAATTAAGCGGTCGTTATAATATTAAATTTGTCGAGGAAATCTTTCATAGCATGCATGTAGGTTACTAGTGTTCAAAACTTTTTCAATGTCATAATGTTAATAAGAATTTTACTTTTTCCCATTTCAATACCCATGAATCATCCTTTTCCTGTTCCGTGATCACCATATCTCATGGATAAGGCTTGGACAACAATTCCCCCAAATGCACTACCATCTCCTTTTCATTTCATGAGGTGTTATTGTCATTGTTAAATGGACACTCCCGGAACATATCTTTTCATACATGTTTAATTATACATTGGTACAACCAAGTGGTAGAAATCGTTAACTTTATTTCTTACTTTAAGTCTTCCAAAGTAAATGAACAAGTACATAGACTTATTTGTTGTGACCAATGAAGATTCTTATTAATGAAAGATTCTTTATTTTCTGAATACAATTTTATTTTTAAAATAAAATTGTCTCTGCCTAAGGTCCCATCACTTACATTTCTGTCCTGCTGTTTTAAAAAAGCAGAATTTTTACTGCACAACGGTCGTCATCTCTAAGACACCGCTTGGAAGGACTAAATTCGTCTAAGACCCCACATTTTAGATTTTAATTTTCTGAACGAACACCCATGCCCAAGCTAAACAACCAAACCACATTGTACTACCTGCCTTTGCGTAATGTTATCATCAGTTGACAGTGAACCTGCCAATCGTTTTTCCAATTTTAACTGGTGCAGTCACAACATTGTGATGCATTATGACATGAGCAAGTGGGGAACTCGATCAGAGATGGAAAGCTATAAATTTAGGAAATGTTAAACGGTAGCGCAATGGTATTGTATCAGCCTAGAGCTTGAGACATATTTGTCATAGCCTCACAACTGTGTTTTCTCTTGGAGGTGTTAATAGAGACGTTAAGCCCACACACTTACTTACGTTTACTTGCAGGAACGGCAGCACAGAAAGCTCTCATTAAGGGAGGGGAAGCAGCCATGTGGGGAGAATATGTAGACAACACTAATGTCATCTCAAGGACATGGTAAGTACTACGCTCACATCTGTGGTTGACTAAAGTTCATAAATATTTTTGTATGATATTATTCTTATTCAGTGTATGTCTACATGTTCTTTAGAATGTGCCAGGGGATTTTTTTTCTCTTTAAAGTTTTGTTGTTGTTGTTTTTTAGGGGGGGGGGGATTTATTTATTATTTATTTATTTTATTTTTATTTTTTGGGGTGGGTAAGTTTTCTAAACTTGATATGTTTATATATTTTCAAATTTCAAGTAATTAAAGTGGTGTCTTCACTCTTATGATGAAAAAAAAGATTTCTTAACTTGGAAAAGGAAATCATTGCTCATAACTTTGTCATTATAAAAGCTAATTTGTTTCAATTTCATTGCAATACACCCCCTGTTATCCTTTCCAACTGTTAAAATAACCCAAATTTCTACCCGATGAAATGGCAACAAAAAAACCCCAAATAACCTATCCAAAATACTGGCCTATCAAATAATTTGACACATCTTCTTAAGAGACACAGGCTCTTGTTCACGAAATGAAGTTCTAGACACCATACTGTTTTCTAAGCCTTCCAGCAAATTGAGGTACAAAGACAACTACAAAAACAGCTTATGTAAGCTTGGAGTAGATGTTAACATCTGAGAAGAAATAGCTGAGGACCGGAAAACATGGAAGAAAATTATAAAGGAAAGAACTTAAATGCTAGAGAACTGCCTTAGAAACAACCAGGCTGAGAAGCGCCAACGACGAAAGGAAAACAGCGGAAATACAGAGCTTCGATCTACGACACCAGCATGCAAGCACTGCGACAGAATCTGCGCTTCAAACATAGGAAGAATTAGCCATGAAAGAAGCTGCATGAAGACAACCTTGAGACCATCTTAAGCTAAATTGACAGTCTGCTTAGACGAAATTAGCCATATACTGTTTTCTAAGCCTTCCAGCAATAACATTTTCTGGCTTATTGTGATATTTCTCAACAAAGACAAAGATGTCCACAAAACACTGAAGACTTGTTTTAATATGTTTTAACTCAAATAATTTGAGAAGTTTTAAACTAAATTTACTTGCTTGACATCAAGTTTAGAGTGTTATGTTCAGTCATGGGCATGTGTTTCAATTTCATCACTGATGTTTCGCAAGTTCGTCATAGACATAGACTTTGTGTATACTATTATAATCTTATCATAAATTGATTACCCTTTACAGCCAAAATAATGGTAAAAACCGAAGGTTGGGGTAAAAAAAATAACAGTTAATAGACTTTCACTTTAGTATGTGCACAAAATTATGAGTTACCTTGAAATTTTATTAGCACGGCGCACCGGCAGTGGAATTTTAGTTGCCACGTCGGGGTCACGGGGGTCAGCTCCCTGTCGCCGCTCTGTCTGGGCCGACTTAATTTTTGGTACTTTTCAACGTACAATTTAAGGTGCATCCTTGTATTTATGGTAATTCTCATTTAGTGCAGCCAAAGCACGCATTTCTGCTCTTGAGACTCAAAAAAGAACGGACGTTGTAACTTGTCTGGTTATTTCGTTAGACGCGCTGGAGTCGGCAATGCTAAATTGTAATTTTTTTGGGACTAGCGTGAATGAAAAAAAATCAATATAAAAAAACCGCATCGTCAAAATCTGTCGAACTTTTGGAATATGAACGACATAACATTAGTGAAGATACTCAGAAAAGATGGTATCTGCGCTTATAATAGAAGGCTGTACTTTTGCAATTTTATCCATCAGGCACACAATTCGCTACAAAGTAATTCCTCCAAATACAACTTTATGTGTCTAATATAATCTTGAATATTCGCATATTTTCTCGAAAGTTTATAAAAGTTATCATGAAGTTTCTCAATGAAAAGTACAAATCGATTTTAGTGCTAGAATATATCTTCAACGTAGATCTAATACACGAACAGTATCTGTTACACTCCAGAAATTGCTTACTTTTCTTAAAACGCTAAGTCTAGGTTTTGTAAGTTGACTGAATAATAGGGATGACTTCTCGTAATTGGGTTATAAGAATAATTTCTAGCTTTCCAGGGACACTGAATCAGCACCAGACTTTTCCAGCCTTTTTTACGTTTCTATGACCATTTGCAATAACTGACAATGTGACTGATTTCTTTACATTCATAATTGTGTCCGCGCATATTTCCTACACAAAAACTAAGAATTAATGTTTTAGCTGTCATTATTTTTATTCCATACTAGAAGTTTATCTCTACCCATGTATTTACACGGTTTTGTGGTTTTTTAAATCGCTTATATTATATCTTTTTAGTTGTATGCAGGCTGCCACAGACACAGCATGATTCATGAACAAACGCAGAGTAACTTTCTCTTGTTTAATAGTAAAATAAGAGCTAACGCTGATCATCTTTAGTTAAAATATGCAGATGTGCATCTTTCTTCTCTTATAACTTGACTATTACTACTACCGCAGATTTAAGATTTCTCATGGTAAAAGACATGATATTCGTAGTCAGTTTAACACAGAATTTGGAGAGATCTGTCGTGCCTTTTTAAAAATATCAATCATTTATTCATAACTTTGTAACTAAAATAGGACAAATTGGGTACTCTACAAACACTTGTCTAGAACAAAAACTAAGGCACAGAAACTAACCATTCTAACGCAGAATAAATCTCAAGACATTGAGCTTTTAGTACATTCGCGTAATGGTTTGCTGTGTGGGATGGGGAAGAAGTTATATCGTTTTAAACATAGTCAAAAATGCGAACTTCCCGACCGACACCGGCAAAGTCGCCTCAGGGCTCATTAACCCCGTGACCCCGAGCCGGGGAGCTCCGGCGGGCTGCTGAGTCACGCGAACTAAAAGTAACAGAATCGGGCGAAAAGTGACGCCGTGTTAGACATTTGAGGCATTTTGAAAGGGGGCTGGCTCTGAAGGAGTTACCTACGCAAGTGTTTGGGGCTGGCAGGCATTGGGTTTGTACGTTTGAGAATCAAGGTCGTCAGCTCAAACTCGGTTTGTGATGGGCTGAATTAACTTGGCCTTTTTTGTTTAGTAACCTCACCCTGATGTTTTCCGTAGCGAACATATGGCAAATTTAGACCTACATTTTATTAAGATGAAATTGAAACAACTGACAGTGTGCTATTAATTTATAATGTGATTTCTGAAGTACTTTGTAATTTGCTGTTAAATCACCTTTTTCTGCTATTCTAATCCATAAAGTACAAGTTAAAATCTTGTATACACACGAAACTTATGATCCTGTATTTTACAGAGGGAGAATGGGAGAGTATGAAGTGAGGTCACTTACTGGATATGATGAAATTGAAGCATGTAACCCTGCTCAATGGGTTTTTTAAAAATCAGATGATAATGAAAGCAGGGTCTTGGTTAAGAGCAACAGTCTGGTCCTATAATGGAGTGGGACAGTGGCACAGCTATGCTTTCTGAATTCTGTGTTTAATGCCCCTATCAACACTAGAGGCAGGACCTGAGAACTGACAGGAATGAGCCATACGGGTTGAGAGCCTTGAAAACTCAAGAAAATGAGAAGAAAAGTTCAGACTGGGATTCTATCCAGGGTCATCGGCTCCTTAGTCCAGCATGATACTAACTGAGCCTCCCTGAATTTTGTTAGAGGGAGAATATTTCTATTACAGTACAGCAAGGTGAAAAACATTTTTTTTTTTTTAAATGTCTTCCAGGCCTAGAGCGAGTGCAGTTGCAGAGCGTCTGTGGAGTCGTCAGACAGTCGTGAGTGTGGAGAAAGCCACTCCCAGATTGGCCGAGCATCGGTGCAGACTCATCAGGTGAGCTTTGGTGTTATTGGAGGTTGAGTGTCTTAAAACTGTGGGTTGGACCCGGTTTTAAAGGAATCATTTAGAGGGTTCCCACTCAATCCGAAAAACAGGAAAAGGCTAAGAATTTTATTTTCAGATTTCCTGGTCGGGAAAACACCATAAAAATAGACGGGAGAAAGCCGGGAAATCAAAGGGCTGTCATCATTATGAATTGTTAAGGTTTTTAAAGATTTTTACAACATGAAAATACCATCGTAAACCTTCCCCCCCTTGATTTCAATTTTTTAAAATGTATTTGTCGTTCGTTTGATAGCAATGCAGGGTATAAGTTTTATTTTTGTTACAAGCATTGGACCAAAAATATACGAATTTTGTGATTGTGAAAGTGGTGATAGATCATAAATAATTTGGCACTGCGAATGGAGAAATGCACTGAAAATTAACGTATGAATGGTCATAAGCATAGAAAAGAGAACAGTTTACCATTGCCTTGATGATTTTGCAGGTTTTTTTTACATGCAGAGCAGACATGTGCTGTTTTGTTATCGTTGTAAACGAATAATTTCTGATTATTAAGAGATCTTTTGTCTTCTTTCTTCAGGCGTGGCTTCCCTGCTGAGGAAATCAATGGACCCGGATTTTGCGAAGAAGAGTACAATAGGTTTTAAGTATATATCACACTTGAGGTTGCATATTGTGCTGTTGGTAAAGAATAAGGCTAATTTGGATTACCCATATTGTGTCACATGATATATCTTTGCCTGTGCCAATTTCATGAATGCACTGCCACTTGTGTCTCTATTCTTTGAATTTCTAATTCTATGGAAGGTTTTAATACAGAGCTAGATCGTATGCAGCTGTTTTTCCCCACACCTTTTCCTTGCAGATAGAGGTCATTTTTGTATGAGCTTTTGTATTTGCCTACCTTTTTATTTAATATATTTTTTTAGTACATTTCATAACCATCATCAGTTTGGAGACTGAAAGTGAAGCCAAAGTACTGCCAACAATTTTTTAAAGTGATACTAGCATTGTGAAATGATATGTGTGTTAATGTTTGAAATTTCTGAATGTGTTAACACTCAAGTAGAGCCTTTGATAAATCACGGTGAATGTACTTCAAATTTGTACCCCCGGTTATTGCAGTGCAGGGTAATGCTACAAGGATGGGCCCATGTACATTATGTGTATTGACATTTATCAGTATCTTCTTATTGTAACTACAACCCCCTGTTAGGGAAACGGACTCAATTTACAAGTTACATGTATTAAACAATTTTCTGAATACCTTGTGCATAGATGGCAAGAGGGTGGAATATATTATTGCAATATTCCAGACGACATTGTATGGTTTGGATTGTGTCTAAATTTATTTCCCCCCACCCTCATTAGTTCTGAACATCCATGTTTTTTGCGACATTGCTTAGGATTATTACCAAAACAGCTTCAGTATTTCAGGCTGTAGACTTGAACATTAAATATACAGTCTTGAGGGATTTTCAGTGAGTTTCAAAATAATTTTGAAAAGTGAACAAAAAATGTGACAAGTTGGTTTGTGGAAAAAGATAAATGTTCATTGTTATTATAATGAGAGAACCAAGGTTCTAACCAAAGTACAGTTGAGCACAGCAAACACAAACACTTACATCTTGAAATCACGAATAGCTCGTACAATGTGCCATTCCATGACTGTACAGCTATATTTTCTTTGTTTGTTTGGGTAAAACACCGTGATGCACTCACTGCCGATATCGAGATGCATTGTCACATATATTACCTGTCGTTTGCGTCATGCCCAACTGTGTCTTCGTCTTATCAGTTTAAAAAACAATAATTTTTGGGGGGTTGTCTTATTAAGCTGTTTTCCTTTGTGTGGTGTGTCGCTTTTAAATTTTCAAAAATCACGTCCTTTACAAATTGCTGCTTTATTTTAAAGTGTGCCTGCTTAACTGTTAAAGAACCTATTATTATATAATACCTTATAGGCCTACTATTCTGATGAGATCGTGGAATTCGTGGCTTGTTAAAATGTCTGACACTATCTCGGTTATGCATTTGATATGCGCACTGAGTGCAATGATTGACCATGTTTCAGTTTCATGAACTAATAAAATAAAATAAGAGGAAATTGAAAATAGTAAAACTGAAATATTTAGTTTGGTTGATCTTCGAATCCTTTTAGTTTCTTCATTTGTTCCTCTTGCAAAGACACATTAATGGGTGAGGTTTTGGTGACCCTTGTGTCTTGTTGTTAAAATTTTAGATTTAATTACACTGATCCGCAGCAACTATTTATTTTGATTTTGTTCTTTTTATAATGATGTGCCTTTTGTACGTAACATATCAGTTCACCTTTTTATTTTGTCGTTATTTCTTGAATAGAGAGAAGACATTTCGAAATATTGGTCTCATTGGACTATATTTTATGTTGAGTGTATTAAAAGTTTTTATTTTAAATCACAGTATTCTGAAATTACAAGAAGAATTCGAATTTTAGCAGCAGTAGGATCAGGGGGATAGAACAATAAGTCCATATTATTGGACTATGCTATGAACAAAGATGAAGGATTTGTACATACATACATAATTAATTATTTTTTAATACATCAACCAAATATTCAAGATCTATTTAACTGTGTTCCAGAAGTTTGTTTATGTTCTTGGATTTTAACTCGAGTGTCTGCTTTGTTGTACACCAAGCTTTGTGATGACTTTTTAGACTTGTAGAACGATAATTTTTTTTCCGTTAATTGTCCAGTTCAAGATCTGACACTATTAATATTAACCAACAATATTGTTTTATTATTGTGCTGAAAGGTCTGAGACTTTAAAAAAAATATTCATTGCTCAAAATGGAGAATAAGATTTGGACTGTAAAAATTGAGAGGATTTTGAAAGAGAATGTGTTAAAAAAACCCCACCAAAAACAGAGTATGTGGCTTGATTGATAACACTGAGACAAGATAGAAAATGGTGCCATTTAGTTTTAACTTCTCTTATTTTTAAGAAGAAAAATACCAGACATTGTGTGAATAAATGCAGTATGGCAGATGTTCCAGAGTTCTGGGAGTGAAGGTATCATGGGACGATCGCTTACGTCAATCACTTGTGTGCTGATTTACTTGTATTCTTTGATTTTTTTATGTAACATTCCACAATAAAAGGTTAAAAAGAAATTGTGAAGACTATCTTTATTGTTCAGAGTTTTGAAAATAATTTCAAGGAAACAGGATAAAGAAACTGTTTGGATATAACGCCCCTTACAACACTGTACTGTAATGGGTTTTTTTTACCCAATTCACCCTGCTTTGCCACGGCAGTGCACTTGTGTCCACCTGGCTTTCTGCGTGCCGGGGTGAAAAATCGGTCTGAACTCGACACACTAACCTTAGACACACTTTGTGCCCAAGTGCCCTAACTATTTAAGGTGTCAATATGAAATTTCTCTTAGATTTTACTTAAAATGTTCTTTTAATATTATTAGAGAGAAAGAGGAAGGAAAGAGCAAAGAAAACAATATATTTTTGTCTGACTGCGACTCCTCGGCACTTGATTTTGCCATAACAACTTAAATTTATGGTCTAGATCTTGCTTTTCTTCGAAGTTTTCAAGGCACTAAAATCAATTTCATCGCCTTGTTTTTCTAGATTTACGTATACTTTCACTTTCTTTGCCGCTTATGTCTAAAACAAAACTAAAAACATGGTTCATGTATTTTAAAAGACACAAAAATAGCCGTGGCACTGGGTTTTTTTGTGGCTGTTTTTTCTCTTTTTCTCTTCCATGAAGATTTCAGTGCTCGCTTTCTTGCCATGATTTGCAGTGGCAAAACAACGAAACAAACTCGTATTTGGTGAAAAACTGGGTCGAAACGAGCTAGCATAAGTTTTTACATGCTACAAGCGACCTATTATTTTCAACAGAAACCTGGATAAGTGGTTCGGACTCGATCTTGTGGACTGCTATTTTGATACGACTATTGTCTAGCTCGGTGGACGGAAGCGCGCGGCAGCTAGGAATATTCGTAGCTTGGGTGCAATGGGTTAAGAGATGAGACCTCCGAAGTTAACGTGCATCTCCAAAAGGACCGAGTGAAATACTGTAGGAATGTTCATTGCCTTTTCCAAAGGACGTGAAGTTGGGAGAAATTATGTCGATGTTTAGGTCTCTACTCAAATAAACAAAAGGAAAGAAACCAAAATTTTTCTTACTATTTCAACGTTAGGTTAATTCCTTGCGAACCCCAGCATGTATACAATAATTGAACCGGCTCTAACAGCCACCTGTACAAGACAATCACCTGTACAAAAGGCCACTTCCCATTTCCTCCCATTTTTTTACCTTACTATGACATTGTGTAAGACAGCCACTTGTCTAATACAGCCATTTTTTCCTCGACAATGGGTGGCCGTTTCAGACAATTTTGACTTTTATTTTATTTTATTTTTTTTGGTTAACGCTACTGTCTACTGATGGTTAGGATGTTTTTTTAGTTTTAGTAAGAGTTTAATGGCACTTGCAACGCAATAAGGTCATATAAGTGCCGAAGATTAGAAGTGTTACAAGAGAGTAACAAAACAAGAAAGGAGGAAAGATAAGTACGAAAGATGTTTAATAGGAAAGAAGGAGCAAACCACACCTGAGCACCATCAACCACCCACAGGTTAGGATGTATAAAATTGTATCAGTTAGAAGATAATGAAAGTCGCATCGCATCTCTAACCATCTCGTCATTACATTTCATTGTTGACATCACATCTTGACCTTGAAAACGTCCTTCACAATTTCTTCATTATAGACTAGTGTGATTCTTTTGTCCTTGAGTCATCGTTGTATAGAGTATTTATTTGCCCTGTGATACCAGCATTGCCGTATTAGAATTTTTAAAGTAAGCTTTGGTCATTTTGAAGAGATACAAGGATTCCTGTTGGCGTTAAAGACATGAAACGTTAAGTTTTTATCAAGCATAGGTGGCACACCTCTCTCACAAAAGTGACCATACTTCAGAGATTTCTAGTGATTTAAAAAAAAAAAGTGTCATCAGGAAAGGTCATTCTATGTGGAAATGCAATAAACTACAAAAGTTTTTTTTAAAGCCCACGTGGACCTTTTTCTTAGGCATGCACTCATATTTGTAAACATTTGAGGGCTTTGCACGAGTCTGTTGCTGAAAACCTTGTTCAGAGTCAGTTTCTGGGTTCAGTTTTGTTCAAACATAGTGAAGTCTCTGAAAGGTTTCCCAAGGCTTAATTTAATTCGTCTGGTTTTGTAAAAACTGATAAAACTAAAACACTCACATAAATTGGAAGGCTGTCCCTTGACATGTAGGCTATATCTACAAACTTAAATTGTGGGCTCATGCCCTATAGAAAGTCTTTAGTGACCACATCCGAGGTTGTACTTGCAGCCCATAATAGAATAATGGGTGACTATGTGCAAGTTATGGTGTGCGCGACAAACCGGTGCATTGAACGAGTAGCAAAAGTATTTTGTACAACCTATGCATTTTACCACTATATACTGACTTGTGGAACAACAGATTGCACCCTAGAGAACTACCGGGGGGCTCTCGTGGCCTAGAGGTTAAGGTGTTTGCCTCTCATTCAAAGGTCCCGGGTTCGAACCCAGGTAGCGACGGAAAAATGTTCTCTAAAATTGTCTCCTTTCACCTTCTTTACTTCTCTCTTGCAATATTCTGTTGTCTGCTTTCGTCTCCACTTTCTTCCCCAACCCCTTCACCTTCTTTGCCTTCTCCACTGAGCTCCTGACTCTTTCTGCAGCCATTTTACTGTTACTCCTTGGCTCCTTACTACTGCTGTCTTTCAACCATACCCCTGATCTTCTGGTAGGAAAGATCTACACCTAGCCTTCTCGGACATGGGCGAAAAATCTCTGAGGTCCCGTGTGCAAGCTGCACACGTTAAAGATCCCTTGATGGTCTAAATTAGATAAGAATAGGCTTCAGCCGCCACCCGGGCAGAATTCAAAACTTCCTACCAACTGAAAATGTTTGGGGTGTCCCGCACCCTCATATGACCTTATCATGCCTTATGCAGTTGCAAGCGCAAACACTTGCAAAAAAGAAAGAGAACTCCTTAGCTCAGTTTGTATCATATTGGACTTCCAAAAAGAAGGCTTTAGTTCGAATCCTGTACAGAACGTTCTCCAACTCGGGTACTTTTACGGAATTTTCAAGGCTCTCAACCCATTTGGTTTGAACCTATCGGAGATAAACATGGACTTCAAAGGTCCCGTCTCTTGAATAACGTAGCAATAGTGTTGATGGTGGGCGTTAAACCCAGACTTACACTCTCAACTCTCTCTCTCTGGCTTTGTCTCTTATTAATAACAACGCCACCTTTTCTGTAACTGAAGATGTCTTCTGCCATTCATATAATCAAGACAACAAACATTATTTGCTCTTTTCTCTTTAGTTTTAATTTTTTTGTATGGGTCACAAGTACAAGAGAGACATTACGCCATAACATAATATAATTTCCAATAAACTGGTATCAGTCATATTTTCATCAACATCCAAACTGAGCCTTCCAACTTCCAGTAAAGGTAGATCACCCTGATTATAACGAATGAATCACATGCAATGAAATAGACTAGTCTTACTTCATAGGCAGACAAGGCTTTTGCACCCTTCTGATAAGAACATGTCAATCACAGAATATTATTATTCTGCTTGACTTTATCCAGTTATCTCCAGCAAACTCAGCTTTTCATATATAAATCTTTGCAAAAATTAATGCATTTAATTTATATTGCAAAAAGTCACAATCTGGTTCATGCAGCTATTTTGATTCAAATCTCAAATGTTTACTTGTCAGTGTTAAATTACAGTAAATCTATTATAGGCATAGTGATTTACTTTCCATTAACCAATCCCAGACTTGTTTGAGTTATCCTTCCATGACTGTATATTTTGTACTTGTTTGGAATGATAAAACAATACTGACCAAAAAAGAGAACTACAGGGACAAAGTATAAAGGCAGTAAATTGGAACACAAACAGCTCTGTATAAAAACTCATGATTGTCCCACTAAAAAAATCCATAAGAGCCACGAGCATGTTACAAAAGTAATAACAGTGTATTTAGTAATAAAGTCCACTGGTCCTCTCATTCATTTATATATGTAATAGCCATCACATTTCATACATAAAATGAACAATTATAAATAAATGAAAAGCATTTTGAGCCATCACAGAGAAGCTTTCTAGAGGAACTCATGTAAAGGTTTCTCAAGATACAGCCGAGTATTTAAAAACAAGCCATGTAGTCTCACCACAGCTAGCATGATATCCAAATGGAATGCACAATCATAAGTTTTGACTATTGTACAACTACAAATCGAACCCATTATACAATCCCATCTGAACTTAGTAAAAGCTTCCTTACTGTCTGATTTCGTCTCACATGCTGCATTTCTGCATTCTGAAAAGCAAGATAGAAATGTTAGACCATTGTACTGAAGAGTTAAATCTCTAACAAAACATTAAACTGCTCAATTTTGTGAATCTGTTAGCTATTGATCGCAGCAACAAGCATTTGTTGCCTCTCCTTACATTACATGGCTAGAAAAAAAGTCATTTTCCATTGACATGAAAAGTTGGAGAAAACAACCAAGCAACTTTTGATTGGTGCAGTTCGAACCCATTTATAAGGGACAAAATGTATCTCTAAGGGAAGTAACATCAATTATTATCCTCCTGATTTGAACAGGTTCCCATTTATTCACACTTCCCACAAAACAAACTCATATATAAAGAGATGAATCATCCAAAGCACTAAACGCAGGCCCAGACTTCTGCACTGAAATGACTCATCACAACTCTCACTGCCCTCACCTTCCAAATAATGACAACACCATCAGCACCACAAGAAACGATTCCTTCGTGATCAAAGTCCAAGAAACCCTATTAAAAAAAGACAAAAAACTTCATAAAATCAAACTGTTAACAGTACCCTTCCTAAAAGTGAAAAACAACAATATTCAAGCTAATAAAATGTCATAGTTCGCACTAGCAAAGAAAATAACGTGGTAAAAACCATCTCTTATGACCTTTTCAGGACTTTCATTTTTATAAAGATAAGAAAGAACATAGACATAAATCAGAGACATAATATGGATCAAATACAGTTGAACCTTCCCAAGATACCACCCATTGTTGAAAAGAAAAGTCGTCATCCTATAAAGGTGGTTCTCTTGGACAGTATAATTAATTATAATACAGAATAAACACAAGATGGGAAGTGGTAATTTGTACTGGTGATTGTCTTGGACAGGCGGTTGTTAGAGCAGGTTCGACCGTAAAAGCTAACTTTAAAAATACGATGGACATTGTCTTGAAATCACTAACAGTAAGAGAGTAGTAATGAAACTGTCACTTATTCATAATCCTGAGAAGAAACAATGCTATTGAAACAGACTTGTAATAATTCTATTGCATGACCTCGAGGCTTTCCCTTCAGCAGACTGATGAAAACTTAGAATTTACTACATCAAAGCAAACAAGGAATAGTTCAATTTGCTAGAAATGAAATCTCAACATAAGTGTTTCGCAGTAGATCTTGCCCACACACTACACAGTTCAGTTGCGTGTTGCAAGTCCGTGGTCGTGTGAAGACACATACCCAGCACTGTCGCCACATGTGTAATTGCACTCCTTCTTCAAAAGAGATAACACACTATATAACAAGTTACCAGTTATTGGAAAGATAGATCCAGTATTAATCATTTAATACTAACACTATTCATAGAATGATCTTGACAAACCAACCTGCACACTGCCTCCGTGAGCCGACAGCTCCCCCAGCAGACTCGGTTCCCATGGATACTGGGAGGACACCTGGTGTAACTCCTGGGACCTGGAAACACACAACACAACAATCTCTTCTATGGACTTTGGATAAGACTTACTTATTAAAAATCTCACATAAATTATACATATAACAAAACCCAATCTGGTGGTACCAGAAACTATAAGACACCTTTTAAAAGAACTTTTATATTCAAATATTTCTTTCTCAACTTAACAAATACAATCTGAAAAAAATAAGACAAGTGAAAAACTATGCATGTTCATAACTAAGAAAAAAAGAGAACATTATATCAGCAAATGCTTTCTTCACAGCAAGGGAAAAATCTCTCTCCAATTGCAAAAACCAATGGCGTCATCAGTCTCACCAACAGACACCAGTACACTGAGAGGAACAAAGTACATCATCTCATGTAACTCTGTACTATGGTTCTTTTCTTACTCACTGAAGCCCAGTAAACTTTTCCATGGTTGTGACTGCCATGCCATCTCGTGCATTCCAGTGATCAGTGGATGGTTTTTTACCCCACAGTCGTAGGCATTTGTCTTCTGAACAAGTCACCAAGAATTCACTTTAAAAAAGAAAAGTAGCACAGTTTTGTCAAATTCAAAGTAAGCAATGATATTCACATATGTACAAAAGTACAAATAAACCTTTCTTTCAAGTCTCATTTCCCAGACAAAATCTTTTCGTAAAGCTGATACAGCTAATAAAAAGGATACAAGACTATTTCATAATAACCTTTGAGGATAAAAATGCATTTGAAAAGAAGGGGCTCAAACTCAAAGGGTTCATATTGAGTCTGCGTTATAAAATCAAACTGAAAGCTTATAAATGTAGAACAAATTATTACACAGGGGTACAATTTAGATGAAAATGGATTTATTTATTTCTCTTTTGAGACAAATCTTACTACTGTATTCACTTACAAACTTTTCAAATGGTATAATTTTTACATAATTTAGATGGGGGAATTGCAGTCGTTCTAGCTATTCTCACATAGCCACATGACACCAAGGTACAACTGTGTCTCCATTTTCGCAAGTTACATTTTAATGATCAAAAAAGGCATAATATATTTCTTTCACATAGCTCTTTTAGTCTCCATAATCATATGTTTAAAAATCAGAACAAAATTCAATTTTTTTAGCCTTTTTAGCCGAAAAAATGCATAAGCAGGACATTGAAACATTGAAGCTAATTTAAACACTGAATACAGTAGTGTCCGCCTAAGATCCCATCTCTTACGATCCTGCTGTTTTAAGAAAACATAACTTTTACGAAAGAAAAGTCACCCTAAGATCCCACTCTTAAGGACTACATTCGGCTACGACCCTGTATTTCATATCTTAATTAACAGAACACAAAAACCCTCGCCAGAGGAGATGATCAACCAAGCAGTGAAAATGTGGGATCGTTGAACCGTCTGTTGCATCACAGATCAGCCACCCTTGTGATCACATCCCTGTTATAAATCACGATGAAACTTTAAATGTTTGCCCAGATGGGATCACACTGAGGCGAGAACTCCATGACCCGTTTTTCACAAACATCACACTCCATTTAGAATTCTCCACCAGAACTTACATCATACGATGGATGGATAAGGTGAGGCCACAACACAAAAGAGTGTTAAGTCAGAGGTGGGGGGGGTCTCAATCAGAGATGGAAAAGTACAGATAAATTTTGGACAAGTAAAGGGGAGGAGCAATAGGATCAGCGTAGATCTTGGGACTTGCGATTGGATTAATAAAAATGGTATGCCTCATGTTATTGTGACCGGTCATCAATATCATCACTCTTTGCTCGCCAAAAGTTATAAACCCACTCCGGGGGTCACATCAGTTCATTTTGGAATTTTGGAAAATCATTTTACACCCATTTTGGGCTTGAACACGAATCGCCGTGGATTCTCCCCTTGGTGCGTCGACAAAGATCCTGTTTGCCTTAGACCCTGCATCTGCCTTACTCCCAAGCACCAGGATCTTAGGCAGAGACTACTGTATCCGTATCTAAAGTTGTACAAAAACAGCAGGACAAAACATTACCCCTCTGAAGCAAATCCCATGCAAGTGACCTTCGAGAAATGAGCGGACTTCTTTTGCACCACTAAATGCTCTTTCTCAGCGTTGATTTCGAATACATAAAAACCACAGCCAACTGCTGCAAACAGATAACGCTGAGGAGACAATAACACAACACAATTTTGGCTATTCATTCAAGACTGATTTATCAAAGGAAAATAGTATTCACATGACATGCCCTGGGGCATGGCATCTTCCCAGCTTTCAGTTTTAAAATAGGAATAGAAAAGAAGGTATAACTTTACAAGTTTCAAGAGAGTTGCACACATGAATGTTGCATGGTATAACATCCATTGAAAAAATACAACTGCAAGGGAAATCCCGAACCTTTACATACAAGCTGTTTGTCGCTGCTACTTGTAGAATGATCGGATAAACTAGTTCGCCAATATGGTAGTAAATTAATTACTTCCATTTTATTTATTTCATGAGCATGAAAAACAATGAATGTGGCAACCAGGTTCTGAAAGAAGAATTAGAATTTAAAAATACAATAAAAGATCAAACCTTTTATTTTGTTCAGTACAGTACCTCCACTTTCTTCTCCATTGCTGCACTCCACTATTTGGGTTTCCTACATGATTCTAAATGTGTTGATGGGGAGGTTTGTAAGATTTGGCTCATTTTATTGACAAGGATATTTAGGGGGGGGGAGATTTTAAGGGGGCATAGGATAAGTACAAAAATCAACACAACAGTCATCCCATAGGACCAAAAACCAGATTCTTATTCTATGAACATACCTCCTGAACACACATCATACTTTGAACACTGTAAGGAAACCTCCGATTGGCTCCTTCATACTCTGTTACAGCATTGAGCCTCCGGGCTGGCTGAAGGTTGGAAGCGGTCCAGATGATGATCATACCATCCACTGACCCACTGGCAAAACATGATGCTGGAAAATGTTTTAGTTTTAGTAAGAGTATTACAGCACTTGCAACAAAATCAGGTCATATTAGTGCCGAAGATTAGAGGTGTTATAAAAGAGTAACAAACACAAAAAAGAAGGAGGAGAGAGATAAGGATATTAGATGTTTGATAGAAAAGAAAGAGCAAACTACACCAGAGCACCCGACAACCACCAAGTAAGTTGGAAAAAGCCAAAAGAGAATTAGGAAAGGTGTACACAAAAACAGGGACAGAAGAAGAAGCCAGGTGTTGAACTGTGGCAATCATCAGCAATGACATGTCTGAATTTTGTAGTGGCAATCATCAGCAATGACGTGTCTGAATTTTGTAGTGGCAATCATCAGCAATGACGTGTCTGAATTTTGTATATTCTATACTATGTGCTGTGGACGCAACATTCAAATACCAATCCATAAATTGATTTAAGCAAGAATTGTACAAGACGTTGTATCTCAAATGACACCATAGGGATCAATATCAAAGGTGGCATTTTTTTCTTTCTATTCTTTTTTAAAAAAATTTTTGAGAAAAAATTCTGTCCTGTACAACCTTTTTTCTTAGATAATAAAGGCAAAAGTTTTAATACTGACACAATAGTGAAGTACAATTTGATTTTTAACCAAAGTGCAGCTGTGATGTGTTCAGCTTTTCAAAATAAAATACAGTCCATGCCGGCTTTAAGCACGGTCACCGGGAGAAAGCCTAAGCGTGCTTAATGCCGAAGCATGCTTGAGTGCAAAGTAGACATAATCCAGAGATTTTCATGTAGAAAATTCCCCGTGCTATTTCCCTTTGTTTGTAAGTAGGCCTATAGCGGTCCCCCAAAAGTGTGCACTGTTATTTTTACCCGCCATGGTAGTTTTCGTTTGCTTGTTTGTTTTTGTTTTGTGATTGATTGGGAAATGAAAACTTAATTAAGACGTGTAATTTATATAGCAAAAATTTTGTAAGAGCCGTTTAGCGTGCTTGAGTCCGAAACGTGTTTTATGCCGGCGTGCTTAAAGCCGGCACAGACTGTAACACAAAGGAAAGGTAATGAAATAGGCTGGAGCAACTAAATCAGGTGCACTAGAATCTGCTAGGAGAAATACAGTTATTCCTGAGAGCTGACATCTGTTTTTGAAATGCCTTACAAATCAGATATGCAGGGGCAAAAGCTGAATTGTGTGAATGGGTAATCAAAGTGAGACAAAGAACCAGGTAAAAATGAGGCCACACATACAAAAATTTCCCACAATATGAACATAATTTGGTGGCATCACTGAGTCATTGAATAATTCTGTTTCCACTTTGGGAAAAATGCAATTATAACTTTTTAACTCACGGTGGGGATAATCATAATGGTCTCAATATTTTTCAACCATGATCTGATTATAGAGCAGTAAAAAGTTGAGGAAAAAAAAAACGAGCACCCCCAGTAGCCACGAGATTATTAGCCCCCCACTCAAACCCCACACAGAAGTGCAGGCTGTTATAGCCGTAAATGTTCCCACAAGCTGTTTTTCCCCCCTTTGTCTTGTCGTCATTTGAGGCTTTTACGCTTCCTGTCCGTGACTTTAACGCCCTGTTTCACACCTATACACCCCTCCCATGGCGGAACATTGCACAATATGGTTCAGTAGTTACCATAACGAACCGGTTAGCAGGAAGGGTAACTATGGCACAACCGTTGCCCCCGGCTCTGTGCCTGTGTGTGCCTGGGTTGTGCCCCATTTCTATCCTGGGAGAGAGACGGTGCTGGGTGGTTGGCGGGTGCTCTGGTGTGGTTTGCTCCTACTTTCCTATCAAACATGTTCTATCGCCCGTATCCCCCTCCTTTTTTGTGTTTGTTACTCTCTTGTAGCACCTCTATCTTGGGCACTTATAAGAATCTGTTTTGTTGCAAGTTGCAAGTGCCGTAATATTCTTACTAAACCCGTGACACTAAGAGACGGTGGGCACCTCCTGTTGGTTGTGGTGGCTTTCTGGTGCGTTTGTTTTATAGTGTGTGCGTGTGTATGCGTGTTTTGGTGTGTGTGTGTGTGTGTGTGTGTGTGTG